AAAACATAGATGAAGACAAATAGGTTAATTTAAGTTATAAAAGCTAGTGGGACAAGCATAAGCTAAGGCTGAGTGTTCCTAACTAATAGTAAGTCTTCGTGTCATGATTTGGGGGCTGGTGGTCTGAGAAAGCCTGCTACAGGACCCTAAAAAACTAAGCTGATTAAACGTACAGGCATTCTTTTTGTTTTGTTTTTAAACAAGGCCTCACCGTGTACTTTAGGCTAACCTGGAACTCATCATGTAGCTAAGGGTTCAGACTCACAGCGATTCTTCTGCCTCAGCCTCCCCAGTGCAGAAAGCCCAAGAGCTGCCACACCCGGCTTAACTAGGCTTTGTTGAAGATTGTCATAAGCTGAACAAGCTAGTGTCCATTTGCAATCTCGGCACTCGGGGGCCGGAACAGGAGAATCACAAGGCTCAAGGCCAGCCTGAGCTACAGAGTGAAACCTGATTTCACCCTCAGCCTACTCATGCTCATTCTGAAACCAGGAGAATCTGGGCAGGGAGCAGGGATGAACAGAGTTGGTGAAAGGACAGAACAAATAGAGGAAATGACTCAGCCGTAGGTCAGAGAGGGAATTCCAGTTAGGTAAGTTGAATTGTGGGAATGTAACCTGGGAGAACTCATTATCTAAAAGTCTAGAGACTCATTTCAGTGTTCTCAGGAGTAGTGAGTGGGCAAGAAGCCCAGTGGTAACAGTGTAAAACAGCATCCCAACATTTGTATTTTTAATACTTGGGCAGTTCAAGTCATTTACCCAGACTGGTTGTGAAGTAAGACTGTACTCTCAGTACTTGAAAAACCGAGTCAGAAGGATTTTGAGTTCTAGACTAGGGCTATACAGCAAGACACTGCAGACAGACAGACAGAGGGAGGCGGTAGTTGAGGAGATGGGTCAGTGGTAGAGCACTGGTGGGACAGGCATGTGGCACTGAGTTTGGATCCCCAGTGCCCACATAAAGCCGGAAGGAGTAGCAAATGTCTGTAATCCCAGTGTTCCCACCGCAAGTTGGAAGACAGAGGCAGGAGACTATCTGGAAGCTGCACGGCCAGCTAGTCTGTTGAGCAAAGCAGCATAGGAGAGGCGGCTCAGTGGTATGCATACTTGCTCCTGCAGAGGACTAGGGTTTGATTCTCAGCATCCGTGTAGACAGCTCACAACCACATCGAAGTCTAGCTCCGGGGGGACCCAACAGCACCTGTGCTCACATGCACACACCTCTCCCCATAATGCATATAATTCAAATTAAGATAACATATCTCAAACAAGGTAGAAAGCAAAAACAAACACCACAGGTTGTCCTTGGATATTCCATACAAGCACCAAGACTTGTATACTTCTCATACACATCACCTCTCTGTTATCCTCAAATAAAAAAGCACTGGTTGTGGTAGTGCACACATGATATTATCCCACCACTTGAAACACAGGAGAACCAGGAGTTCAGTTATCCTCAGCAACGTATCTCAAGTTCAAGGCCAGCCTGTGGGCTATACGAGACCCAGTTTCAAAAACCCAAAACAAAAAAAAATTAAAGACTGAAGTGACGTGAAACTCACTCAACAAACACTACTCATCAAACACTACTGAGGACCAATCCCTGTCCCAGCAGTGTGTATAGGTAGAGGGGGAAAAGGTAGGGCCCTGGGCTCTGCCATTGAGCAGCCTACAACTCTGCACTAAGTCACTCCAAAGCCACAAACTGTGTTATTGACATTTAGAAAACTGTGGTTAATGTGTGCATAATCTACTGGAATTGGTAAGCTTGGAAACAAAGTTTGAAAAGATCTTTTGGAACATACTTATGCAAAGAGAGGAAGTCAGGATGGTTGTTATTAAGTAATTTGCTTACAACAGGACTGGAAACTCTGTTAAGGGCAAGAGGGGGGGATGTACAACCTGAAGTGTGGGTCCATGTATCCCAGGCGGGCCTTGAACTCACTATGATGATCTTAAATTCCTGATCCTTCTGCCTCCACCTTCCAAATGCTGGGATGACAGACGAGTGCCACCATGAAGCTTACTTTGGGCTCTGTTCTAAATTTGGAGATGACTCAAATATTTAGGCAGAGGTGACAATGAATCTGCCTTAGAAGAAGACTGCTCGCTCGCGCGCTCTCTCTCTCTCTCTCTCTCTCTCTCTCCCAATAAAGCTCTAAAAAGGTAAAAAAAAAAGAAGACTGGTCAGGCAGCAAGGAGAGTGATGTGGAGGAGACAGGAAAGAAGTTTCTGAGAAAGGACTGGATGTCTGGGTTAAATGAAGGTACTAGAGTATAGTACCTTTATAGCTTTAGGTTTGGATAGAGTCATCCAGTAAGACAGTTTCCTCTCTCTCTCTCTCTTCCTCTCTCTATCTATTTATCTATCTCTATCGCTCTCTGTCTCTCTATCTATCTCTATCGCTCTGTCTCTCTCTTTCTCTCTCTCTCTCCTCCCCCTCTCTCTCTGGACTGAGGACCGAACCCAGGGCCTTGTGCTTGCTATTGCTAGGCAAGTGCTCTACCACTGAGCTAATTCCCCAAACCCCACAGTTTTCTCTTTTTGAACGGGGCTGGGTGTGCAGTCTTACCTTGTGCTCAAGTGTTATGTATCTTGCTCTTTTGATATAATCCTCATGAAAGTGGGCTCCAGGCCCTTGAAAGAGCTTTGCACTGTGTATGTGAAAGGGTCCTGAGGATGTGTGTAAGGTATTTCTGAGCTTTTCTTGTGTGTCCTTCCTCAAGGAACTGGACTGAATGAACTAGCTGTATGTTGGTTGTTAGTGAAGAAACAGTACTCTAACCACATGAAGAAACAGTATTGTTATCTAAGACCTCATTTCATACATAAATATGGCAGTAAGAATAAGTGTAACAGATCCAATCAGTTCTTCACTAATTATAACGATCCAGCAGACATGAGAAAATAAAGTGTATTACTTTGTCTCTGAAATTACATCCTGAGTGGCTCCATAGTGAAAAATTTTACAGGCTTTCATGGAGAAAATAAAAGTTTAAAATGCAACCAATTTTATATGCAATTTCCTGTATAGCTGTGAATACTATACCTCTTTTCATTATGCTGTTAAATATTCCTTTTGTCTTATTGTGCAACTAAACCGTTATTAGCCCCCCCCTCCCCGCACTTTTCGAGACAGGGTTTCTCTGTGTAGTCCTGTAGTCCAGGCTGTTTGGAACTCGATCTGTAGACCAGGCTGGCCTCAAACTCAGAGATCAGGCTGTCTGCTGGGATTAAAGACATGGGCTGTCACGCCCAGGAGCCAGATTATTAGCTCTATTAACTTTAAAAACTTGTAAATTCATGAGGATAATTTCTGTGAAACCAAGCACAGAAAAATGCACACACTACAGCGGTTAAAAAAACCTGGCCTTTTATGTGTGTATTATTTCACTCTAAAACCATTTAACGATGAAGATATTGTTGCTGTTGACTGAGTTCATTTTAAGTTGTATTCACAATATTTTTATTCTGTTTCAATCAATATTTCTGCCACTAATGGCAATCGGAGTTCATTCACTTCTAAACATCAGAGTCCAACTTCGGGTGTCTTTGAAAGTTATCTTTTCCTGTCCACCCACCAGTCTCAGGAATCAAGATATCACTCCACTACCTCTTGTTCCAGTAAAGAATGAAACAATCCCTTTAAACTCCCCCAAACACAACCTATCTCAGAATAATAAAGACCGAAGACAAGTCACAACAGGTAGCCGGGAGCACATTAGTGGGACCAAAGAAGCAGGTCGCGGCTTTGGCCCAGGAACCAGTGAGAAGAAAGTCGGAAGAATCTGGGCCATTTGCCAAAGGTGAACGTCCCCCCGATCCTGGAGACGGACTGGCGCTACGAACTCTAAAGTGAGTGAGTGACAGGCAGAGGAGGAAGCTGGACCCTTCGGAATTGAGCAAAACACGCCAAGAATTCTAGAGAAACGTCAGGAATTCCAGGGCAGTTACGAAGCCAGGCTCGAACCCAGCGCCAAAGGCGAGGCCCGGGGCTGAGCTCAGCCCACACCGCTCCTGAGCATGTCTGCGTGAAGTCAGCCACCAGGAAGCCCGGGGCCCACGCGCTCCTCAAAGTCACAGCTCCATCCCGGGATTCCCACCCGTGAAAAGTAGGAAAGCAGGGGGCGGGCGCCTGGGTGGGGGGCGGGACCCGGGCTTTTCCCCGCCCCCCCCCCCCCCCGGAGCGGCGCATCCTCAGTGCGCCTGCGTAGGGTGAGGCCGGACTCTATTTGGTTATCCGGCGTGCGGCCGCCGAGGCGTTCGCTACCCGGCGTGCTGTGCGCGCGAGCGGCGGCCCTACGTCTGTCCTCCCCCCCCCCCCGGTCCCTCCCTCCCTCCCTGCCTGTCTCCCTCCCTCCCTCCCGCCGCGGCCCCCCTTTCCCCAAAGTGAGTGAGTGAGACGGGCAGATGGAGGAGGGACTGTAATGGCGGCGGCCGGCAGCTCCCTGCTCTGATCCGCGGCAAGCACACGGCAGCGACCCCCCCCCTCCCCGGCCCTCTCCCGGCCGGCCCCCCCGCCCTGCCGTCGGCGCGGGGCCACCGGCCCGGCCCGCCCCGCCGCTGTCGGGTGTCTCGCTCTGCGCCCCGGCCGGGGCCCCACACACAATGGACGAGCTGGCCGGCGGCGGCGGCGGCGGCGGCGGCCAGGGGATGGCGGCCCCTCCCCGGCCGCAGCAGGGACCCGGGGGGAACCTGAGCCTTCCGCCGGGCGCGAACGGAGCGCCGGGCGCTGGGGGTCCGGCGGCTGCCGAAGCGGCGGGGCCCCCGGCAGGCCCCGAGCTGTCCCGGCCGCAACAGTACACTATCCCGGGGATCCTGCACTACATCCAGCACGAGTGGGCTCGGTTCGAGATGGAGCGGGCGCACTGGGAGGTGGAGCGGGCCGAACTGCAGGTACCTCTCGCCGGGGGGTCGAGTGCGGGGCTGGGGGCCGGGGCGCGGGCCCGGGGGTGGGGCGGGCGCCGGCCCGCGCCCTGAGGGGCGGAGGGGACCTACCTGGGCAGGCTCCGGCTGGCCGGGCGGCGACTGCGTGCCCGGCGCCCCCTCCCCCGCTCCCGCAGCGGCCGGCTCCCTCCTCACAGGCGGCGGCGGCGCGCTGCGGGCATCCTCGGGGCAGCCATTTTGGCTTTTAGCATGGCGTCTGCGGGGCTCCTCCGGTGGCGCTTGCTGGGCCTCCGGGCTTGGGCCCAGCGCCTCCGCGCGAGAGGCTGGCGTGGGTCCGCTGGGCACCGCGTCGGCGCTTGTTTGTCCTTTGGAGGTTGAGAACCCCCGGAGAGGGCCGGGGAGGAGCGGCTGGCCTCCTGACCCCGGCACCCCCTTCCGAGGTGGCGTCCTGCCCCCTCCCCCGCGCCGCGGGACGCAGTTGCCCCTTGACAGCCACGCCGCCTCGGGCTACTAGCCTCGCACAATGGCTTGCGACCCGCCGGCGAAGTTTGCCTTCCCACCCTCAACTTTTCAAGGCCCGGGCTGCCGCTGGACTGGACTCGGCTTGGATTTCCTTTAGCGCTTAATGATTCATCAACACTTTCAACTGCAGTTTTCTCTTTTTGAGTCGGCTTGTCTAGACTTTTCCTTCTACATCCTTGTTTTTCTCCTACAAAGCAGAAACCGGTCTATCTGTACTGTATGTAGTATGAAATGTCTGCGGAAAGAATTGGTCTTAATTTGAAGTAAAACGTACTTTTTGTTTGGTACCAAGCGCAAACAAAGCTAAGCGTCCACGTAAGGTGAACCTCTGATAGCCTGGAGTTACCCTAACTTTTGGAAGATGGTAGTGTAGTGTCGGGTTCAAGCCTTGAAGTTTCACAATTGCCGCATCGCTTGATAGGATTATTTGAGTTGTAGGGTAGTTGCATTTAGTTTTAAGTTCCTTTCTGGGGTATAACTTAAACTTAGAAGAAGAAATGTATGCATCTAAACGTTGCACCTGTTTTTAGGAATTTCGGATGTAAGGAATATTGTTCATTATTATACACAAACCTACAACACACCTTTGGTGAATTTAGGAAGAAGTAATGTTGAAATGGGAGATTGATTATGTAGAAAAAGGTGTTCTCAAATAAACATGAATCTTCAGTTTGGTTTTGAACCAGTAAACTTTATCACATTGATTATAAAGAATTTCCCAGCACTCAGGAGGGAAAGCAGGTGGGTCTCCGTGAGTTCAGGCCACTGTGGTTTTACATAGAGAGTTACAGGACAACCAGAGCTGCATACAGTCTATCTCAAACAAACAAAAAAGTAAAAGACACATTAAAAATAGTATTGTTTCGCTGACAAAAGCATTGCAAAACAAGTGATTGGACCAGTAAATACTTGTTGTAAGTTTTTGTTTTGTTTGAGACAGGGTTTCTCTGTGTATCCCTTAGCTGTCCTAGAACTCAACTCTGTAGACCAGGCCTGCTTGTCTCCCGAGTGATGGGATTAAAGGTATGTACCACCATACCCAGCTGAGTGTGTGTTTATTTTTTATTTGTATATGTATGCCTGAATGTATGTATGTTTGTGCACTACATGTGTGCAAGGGTCAGAAGACAGCATTGGATCCCTGTAGTTACGGATGGTTATGAGCCATCATATGGGTGGTGGGTATCGAACCTGGTCTTCTTCATGAGCAGTAGTTGCTCTTAACCATGAGCCATCTCTCCAGACCCTGATTGTTTTTGTTTACTTTTTTTTTTTTTGGACACAGGGTCTTATATCCCATGCTAGCCTGGTACTAGACTGGCTTTGAACTCAGATATTTGCCTGCCTCTGCCTCTGCCTCTGCCTCTGGAGTGCTGGGATCAAAGGTGTGTGCCACCACTGACTGCTGTTGTGATTGTTTTGAGACAGAGTCTCTGTAGTGTTGGGTGGCCTGGAACCCACTATGTATAACAGGCCGGTTTCTCTCTCTTAGAGATCCATCTGCTTCTGCCACTTAAATGCTGGGCTAAAGGTTTGCAGCACCTCACCCAGCAAGCCAGTAAACTTTTATTTTACTCCACAAAGTGGGTTAAGTTAAACTTAAAAATCTTATGTATTTTATACGACACCTTTAGTTGATTCGGTAGTTTTAAAATTGTGCTTAAGAATACTTTTAGAGATTGTAACTTTCAAAAAGCTTAAGTCGAATTGCCTGTGGTTTCTTTTAAATTTGTAGAGTCTACTTTAATATGCTTGGATTTAGAGTTTTGTGGGCATACAACTTTCCAGTACAATGTGATGCCGACATAATGTTCCATGTGGGTAGACTGAGGTTAAAGTATTTGTTAAAAAAATACATTGAGACTTTTGCTTACTTTGATAAACCACCAGTTCCATATGTTTGATCCTTGTACTGTTGTTCATTTTCATTGGTTTTCAAATTAGCAATTGAATTTGTCACTCAGGCATGGTTAATGTAAATAGGTAAGAAAGCATCTTGTGTCCAAATGAACAAGTTTTGCATTATTGAAATCTGTGTTGTCAGCCTTTACTCCCTTCTCCTTTCCATTGTTCCTGTCCTTTACAGCAGCAGAGAAGGATTGGACGGATTCTGTTGCTGGACTTCTTTCAGATAATCTCTTATATGGTAGCTCTGATAGTCTTTGTTTACTTGCTTTTTTTTTCTCTTTAAAATATTTTTGTGTGTGTGTGTGTGTGTGTGTGTGTGTGTGTGTGTGTATGTATATGTATGAATGTATGTATGCATTCGAGAGTGTGAGTGTGCACACAAGTGCAGGCATCCCCAGAGGCCAGAGATAATGGATTCCCCTGGAGCTGGAGTTGCAGGTGTTATGATCCTGACTGTTGTCGGCGCTGGGACTTGAACTCAGGTCCCCTGGAAGAAGTGCCATTTCTCTAGCTTGTTTACTTGTTTTAAAGAATGTTACATGGTATATAAGGTGTTCTCTGCTTCTCTTTTTTCTTAGACATATCCCCCCCCCACCCCCCCACCCCCCACCCCAGACAGGGTTTTTTGTGTAACATCCCTGGCTGTCCTGGAGCTCCTTTTGTAGACCAGGCTGGCAAACTCACAAGAGATCCACCTGCCTCTGCCTCCAGAGTGCTGCGATTAAAGACATGTACCACTATGCCTGGCCATTTTCATTATTTTATACTGATACTTTTGGAATAAAATGTTCATGACTGAGTTGTTTATATGCTTTTGTGTGTGCTATGTATATCTTTAAATTGTTTTATTGGGTTAGTTAGTTAATAGCATTTCAGATTTGTTTCTGGAATATTGAATGTATTTTAAGTGCTGTTGGTCATTTGGGGGGTGGGATAGGGCCGTGCAGCAAAAGCTGCCTGGAACTTGGTAGATGGCTCACACTGGCCTTGAATGCTATTAGTCTTTAATTAAGACTGTGAAGTACATACTTAAAGTTTTATGTGGTGAATGTATGTATTGTATTTAAGATGCAAATTTAAAATTATTTCTGTTACTTTATTAAAAACAAGACAACTTCTGTCATTTTTATATGTAGTTCTGAGTGCACTAATCATCTACACATCATTTTTTGAAACAGTATCTTGTAATGTTGCCCAGGCTGGACCTTAACACCTGGGTTTTAAGTGATTTCCTGTGTCAGCCTCAGGTAGCTGGGACTAACATGTGAACACATTTTTTGGCTGTGCTGGAGACTGAAGCTTGAACCTTGGGCATGCTATTTAGCGTGTCTGTGGTTTGTGACTGCCTACAACACACGGAGGTCAGAAGACACTCATGGGAGTCAGTTTTCACTTTCCTCTGTCTGTTGTCAGGCCTGTCGGCAAGCTCCTTTGCCTGCTCAGCCGTCTTAGAGCCCTACAGATTTCCTTTCCATTTACCTGTTAGCCTCAGTCTGTAGTCTTGCCTCTTACGAACATTGTAGAACAACACACACCTTGTTTTTTTTTTTTTTTGTTTTTTTTTTGGTTCATGATTGACCTTCAAATTTCCAAATCCTGTGGCTTTATACACTGTATTGGGCTTAAGCTACAGTTTCTGCTGTTAATTATTTCTTCCCCAAAGTCTTTTCCTTTAGGACTGGTCTTGTTGGGGCACCCCTTTAATCCTAGTACTGGGAAGGCAAAGAAAGGCAGGTGGACTTCCCTTGAGTTCCAGGCCAACCAGGGCTCTCTAGTGAGACAGTCTGTTTGAGACTCTCTGACTTCCTTTCTGTTATTCTTTGTTTTCCTTTTACCTACTTCATTACTTCTGTTTTTTTTTTTTTTTTTTTGGTTTTTTTGTTTTTTCGAGACAGGGTTTCGCTGTGTAGCTTTGTGCCTTTCCTGGAACTCACTCTGTAGCCCAGGCTGGCCTCGAACTCACAGAGATCCGCCTGCCTCTGCCTCCCGAGTGCTGGGATTAAAGGTGTGCGCCACCACCGCCCGGCCACTTCTGTTGTTTTTGAGACATGGTCTTGCTATGTATCCTGGTTGGTATATGCTCAACTCTGTAGCCCAGGGTGGCCTCAACTAATGGCAATCTTCTTGCCTTTCCTTCTCCAGTAAAAGGAATAGTATAGGGCGCCACCAAGCCCTGCCCGCTTTTTGTATATTTCCTTTTATTTGTTTCTAGTTGTAATGTGAGGTTCTAAATGAACCTGTATGTCACTGTATTATTTTACCAAAAATCACATTTTTATTAACATTTTGATTCTTTTGTGTGTGCCTGTGTGTATGTGGGCATGTGCATGGTACAGCATATGTTTGGAGGTCAGAGGACCATGTGAGTCCAGGAATTGAATTTAGGTCTGCAGACATGGTAGCAGATAGATGCCCTTATCCTCTGAGCCATCTCCAGGACTATCATCCAGTTTTTATTTTTTATTTTTATTTATTTATTTTTTTTTTGGTTTTTCGAGACAGGGTTTCTCTGTGTAGCTTTGCGCCTTTCCTGGGACTCACTTGGTAGCCCAGGCTGGCCTCGAACTCACAGAGATCCGCCTGGCTCTGCCTCCCAAGTGCTGGGATTAAAGGCGTGCGCCACCACCGCCCGGCTCATCCAGTTTTTAAACTACCATATTTATCCATTTAATTCTGAAAACTTCCTAGTGAGGTTGGTGGAACTAGCTTCTTTTTTAAATTTCTCACACTGAAGTATTGGGGCCCAGAGTTTAAGTAATATGCTCAAATACGTAACTGGAGACAGCAGAAAACAGAGCTGGGATTTAAACCTGAGGACATGCTTTTAGCTTCTAGATGTTCCAGGCATATTTGTAAATTTCCTGTTTAACTTTTCTATCTCAAATTCAACTATTCATCAGTTCAGCTGATTTTGTATCCCTATTCTTTCTGTAAACTGCACCAAACTTGTTCCATTAATGTTAGTACTAGTATTTAG